ACTCTAACTTAATTCTTTTTTTTTTAATTTAAATTTGTTATTAATTTCAGTGAAAATTTACAGAGGCTTTGGATTTCCATTCATTCGTTGTTGTATGCGGTTGTTAAGGATTTCATGGATTGGTTTAGACATGTTTGCAGCCGAGGACATCAGCTTAAATGTAACTGTGTTTTACTTTAGTATATAATTTGTCATTTTACAATAGTTTGTTGTTTGTGGGGTTTTGTTTTTTTTTTACATTTGAGTGGAGAAAATACCCTTTAAATTATGACGGGTACTCACTAGGGAATGGCTTTAGAGATTTTCAAAGCATACAATGAATGATGTTGTTTGTTCCTTAAACAATGCAGGTAAGTAGTAAATGTTAACTTACCATGTATATCACAGTATAAAGCTTTGTCATTGAATAACATGAAAAAGGATTTTTTTTTAAAAAAACTAATATTTTAAAGTTTGTTTTTCTTTTTCTACACTTCAGTAATGAAAGCCTAAAAAATAATGAAAATAATTAAAAGTTCATTTCCCCCCATCATTAGGTTTAATAAAGAGGAAGAAATAACAGAAAATATTGAAAATAATCTAAGTTCCAGTAGTAGAAGGAGCTGCGTAAGAGATGAAGATGAGAGTGATGATGATGTGGATCTTCATGTTGATTTGGATGACTCACGAGAAGACAACCAAGTGAACTGACGTGAGAAGTGTCAGCATGAGAACATGCAGTTCTGACCAACTTTGGACTTTTTTTACACCAAGGATTTTACCAAAAAATACTATATGACTTAGAAAATTGGTATAATTTACCCAGGGACAGTGTAAATTGTATATGATAAAATTTTGAATAATGGAAAGCTTTCCTGTCACATTTCTCATGGTAAAATTTTAAGTGGCACATGCTGGAATATTTGCCAAAGTGAATATCGGGATGTTAGAGTATGAAGAATGGGGATTGTTGGGAAGACTATTCTCTGATATCAAACTGAATGTGATTGAGAATTAAGGATGATGTAAGAACCACCTCATAAGAAGACATTATGTGACCAACCTGAAATTTGATTCTCAAAGATACAGTCCGCATTGCAAAAACTATTTACTTACATTTGTGTTCTATAAAACAAACCTGTTTGTTACTTATTTTAATAATAATGGTTAATGAGAGCATAGAATACTGAAACTATTCTTGCATTCACCTTAGTTTTTTTTAAAGAAAACGAATATACAGACCAGGAAAAATGCAAAAATATCCAAGTACAGTTTAGCAAGTAATTATAAAGGGGAATTCACACATCTAGTATGTTGTTGTTGTTGTTGTTAAGTGCCGTCGAGTCACAGACTCATAGCGACCCTATGAAGGAGAGGCCTCAATGGTTGGGTGCCTTTCATCCTCTCTCCAGGTTCATAGGGTTTCCGGAGGCAAGCTATTATAGAAGTGGATCCACATCTAGTATGCGTGTGAAAAAATGATGAGCACCAGAAGGCCTTTCCACATCACAAGTTTTTACTTCTTTCCAAAGTTAGCACTACCCTGAATTTTGATAGTTATAGTTTTACTGCTCATGTGTTCATATAAATTACCTTTATGCTTTAAAAACTATTTTTCCTATCATTTATTTTGAAAACTCTCAAGCCTGTAGTAAAGTAGTAAAATGCTGTGCATTGATAAAGCTTAGAAAACAGGAAAAGAAAGATGAATGGAAATGATACATACAGGGTCCAAGTTGGAAGAGTGCTGTTTCTTTGTGAGGACTGGAATCAGTGTTACAAAACAAAATATGTAGGAATTGTTGAGTGTAATGTTTTTATTACAGCACACATCTGTATACTCTTGTCCTGTGTTTCTGAATGCTAGCATTTTGCCACATTTACTTTATATAGCTATTGTTAATTGGCCTGAAACTGTAATAGTATCACTTTATATAAACGTCTTTCAGTATGTTGTGTCTCTCCAAAAGGTTTGTGAGACATCAGACTTTTCCTATTTTAAGTCATACTATCATGAATGTTTTTATACCTATGTACTGGTTCTCAGGACATAAGGTAATTCATCTCTGGCTTTGCTCCATGTGCCCAATTTTTCCCAGAGTCCACTTCATACAAACATGTTCCACTTGTTCATCATCCTTGCCATCATTTAGTATCAGACTTAAATTTATACTTTAATATTTATGTAATAGTATTTTTTTGTCTTAAAAATTTTTATTTATTTCTCTGATTCCTAATAAACTTGAGCTTCCTTTTACATTTATTGACTGCTTGGTTTTTGGGTTTGTTTATATAGTAGGAATAACTTGGGTTTTTTGTGTGTATAAATCAAGTCAGAGCCGACTCAAAAGTGCCTCTCCAGCAGGTTTTCAGAGACATTAAATCACAGGAAGAGAGTGCCAATTTTTCTTCCCCGGATCAGCTGTTAGGTTTGAACTGCATTCATTTGGGTTGGTAGCACAATTCCTTATGCTAAGACTCATATGTATTTAAAGACAATTTCAGGAACAGGTCTGAGGCCTTGAGCACTAATGAGTATAAACCAGATGAGCTGTGAGAGGTTATCAAGGATATCCATGAAAAATGCAAAAGGTCATTACTAAGACAGAGAAAGAAGAACAGACCACAATGGATGCCAGAAGAGACTCTGAATATTGCACTAGGGTGCTGAGAAGCCAAAGCAAAAGGAAGAAATCAAGAAGTTGAGGAGCTGAAGTTTTCAAAGGGCAGCTCTGGAAGACAAAGCAAAGTATTATAAGGAAATGTGCAAAGAGCTGGAGTTGGAAAATCAAAAGGGACAAACTCGCTCAGCATTTCTTAAGCTGAAGGAACTGAAGAACAAATTCAAGCCTTCAGTTGCAATACTTAAGGATGATATGTGCAGAATATTGAATGATCCGGGAAGCATTAAGAAGATGGAAGGAGTATACAGAGTCACTGTACCAAAAAGAACTGGCTGACACAGAAGAATTTTATGAAATAATATATGACCAAGAAGCAGTGGTGATAAAGGAAGAAGTTCAAACTGCTCTGACAGAATTGGTAAAAAAACAAGGCCCCGGAAATTTGTGGCATACCATTTGACATATTTCAGATACAGCCCTGTGTGTGCTCACTAGGTTGTAGCAGGTTACCTGGAGGACAACTACCTGGACAACTGACTGCCAGAGATCTGTATTTATTCTCATTCAAAAAAAAAGATGACTCAACAGAATGTGGAAATTATCCAGCAGTATCACCAGTATCACACGTAAGTAACATCCTGCTGAAGATTATAGAAAAATGACTGGAACAGTACATCAGCAGAGAACTACCAGAAATACAAGCTGGGTTTAGAAGAGGTGGCACTAGGAACATTATAGCCAATGTCAGATAAATCTTGGCTGAAAGCTGAGAGTTTCAGAGTAATGTCTGACTGTGTTTGATTGACTATGCAAAGGCATTCGACTTTGTGGATCAAAACAAATTGTAGCACACCCAAGCCTCTTCAACCACCCTAAGACAGACTTTACAGTCACCCTAACTACCCCTACAGTGGTTAAGGTCATAAGTAACCATCATTAGCACCACCTTTCCAAGGTCAAACAGGTCACTGAGCAGACCTCCTACACCTCTCAAATGGTGGGCTCCACTACTCTTTGCCTCACTTAGATCCCAAGACCTAAGTAGCCCTTCATATTTTCATTAATCGCTCCCTGCCTTTTGAATTCTTCACAGGATAAAAGAAGTGACCAGCTTGAACTAGCTGCTGTGAAATCCATATTCTCCCCTGGCTACTGGTCCTGGGCCATCCCAGTCGAGCCTCTGAGCCCCAGATCTTCACCCCTGTTGCCCCTTTTTTTACCAAAGAGATTGGGATGTCAGGCCCAGACCAAGGTCAAAGAGAGAACAAAGGATTCAAAGAATAGCAACATGTCAACAAAGGGAGTGAACAGCCTCCCCCATCTGACTAAACTACAATGGAGTACCTCTCCCTTCCCTCCCTAGAAGACCACCCACCTGACTAAACTACAATAAATGTCCCTTCCTTCCCTCCCTAAAGACCCTTACTATAAAACCTTCCCTAACCCACTTAGGGCGCAGTTTGGTCTCTCTCTCTCTCTAGACCAAGGAATCCCACCCAGGAGCCCCCTTAATAAAGTATCTTTAGTTTAAAAAAAAAATCGTGGCTAACCTTGAGTGAGAATTCCAGAACACTTGTTTGTGCTCATGAAGAACCTATACTTGGGCCTGGAATCAGTCATTAGAATAGTGCAAGAAAACACTCAATGGTTCAAAATTGGGAAAGGTGTTTGGCAGGGATGCATCTTATCTCCATACCTTTCCAGCCTATATGTAGATCATTTGGGAGGAATGTGGCATCAGGATTGGAGGAAGACTCAATAATAACCTGAGTTATGCAGATGACAAAACCTTGTTTGCTGAAACTGAGGAGAACCTGAAAGATATACTGCAGAAGGGCAAGTTTATTTCATTATTATTCATTATGGATTGAAGCTCAACATCAGGAAAAACAAAGATTCTCACCACTGGGCCAATTGGCAACGCCATGGTAGACGGATAATAGATTGATATTGTTAACATTTTCAGCTTCATTCCACAATCAGTGCTCTTGGCATGCACAGTCAGGATGTCAAAGATGAATTGCTGGAGAACAACAGCATGAATGTATAGACTGAGATGCCCCTGATCCAAGTTTCCACAATTACTTGATATGCATCAGAGAGTTGGACAGTGACTAAGGATGACAGAAGAAGAATTGATGCCTTTGAGTTGTGGTACTGGAGAAGAATATTGAACATACCATAGATTGCCAAGAGAACAAACAGGTCCATCCTGAAGAGGGTGAAACCGAGCAGCTCCTTGGAGGCAAGGGTTTTGAAGCTCTGTCTCACATATTTTAGGCAGGTTTCCAGAAGGGACCAGTCCTAGGAGAAGGACATTATACTTGGAAGTGTGGAGGGACAACACAGGAGAGGAAGACCCTGGATAAGGATTGACACAGTGACTAGGGTAATGGGGGATAGATGTGTCCGAGATGGTTAGATTGTCTCAGGATAGGACAGGATACAGAGAGAATTGTAGGTAGGGTTTCTCATATGAATTGCAGGTGACTCAAAGGCACATAACAACAACAACAGTGAGCCACCAGAGCTCCCTAAGAAGAAAGAAACGTAAATAAAGAATGGATAATAGATAGTATTAAAGGATTGTGAGGGGTTAATTTAATATTATTTTAGACATATGTGTTGAAGTATTGAGAGCAGTAGCATCCATTTACTTCAGAACAAAACAGTATTTCAGTGGCATTAAAAAAAAGAAAGTCCCTCAGAATAAATCAATAACCATGTTCAAGAACTCTAGTGTCAAAATACAAGGTATTAAAAAAATTATAATATATATATATATACACACACACACACACACACAATGTATAGAATTGAGAACGTCTGCTGTCTCCAAAGTCCTGAAGAGCAAAGATGTCAATCTAAAGACTATGATGTGCCTGACTCATGCCACAGTCTTTCCAATCACCTGATAGATATAGATATGTAAGCTAGACAATGAATAAGAATGACAGTAGAAGAATCGATGCATTTTGGTTGGTGAACTGGTGAAAAGTGAAGAATACTCCATGGGCTGCCAAAAAGAGCAAATAGAAGAAAATTTAACCAGAATGTTCCTTGGAGGCAAAGTTGAAGCTTTGCATC